GCATTCATAAAAATGGATTGATTTAAAACCCAATGCACATCTGAGTGATTACAGGTCTATTTATATGTGTAATTAATGTATGTAAAGAGATATTTTTTTAAGTTGAAAACAATAGGTAAATCATTAAATTCTGTTAAGAATGCACTGATCCTAAAGTACTAATGCACTGATCTTAAAGTACTAATGCACTGATCTTAGAGGTATAATAGAGGCATTAATCAGGTTTCAAAAGTTATCACCAATTGAAAAAATTTTCATGACATGTTTCTTTTCAAATTCACATTTTAAACTTAAAATGCAAATTAAATGAAGAAGGTAAATTATTAATACAGGGATATTAATGAGTTATATTTCATTCTTTAGCCTGTTGGTAACACAAGGCAATCTACCAATGCAACCAGTGAAGACCAATGTCGGCAAACACATGCCATCTTATCATGGTCTGCACTGTTGGCTATTCACTCAGTACTTATTTTGAAATTTTCACCAACAAAATAAAGAATGGTTTTGTCCAGATGAACCCACAGACAAGTCCATTTAGGATATTTAGGATGAAAAGGGTTAATAATTTATCTCATCTATAGATTACAAAAATATACAAATTCTAGAAATTATATTAGATAAAAAACATGGTGGCATTATGTTATGGTATCTGCTTTAAATTCTTCAGGATTAAAAATGAGAATTAAAATTCATAACAATTTAAGTTAGTTAGCAGCAATGCTAATTTAAAAGGCTTAATTTTCTGTCAGTTTTGAAAACTTCCTGATAAAAACAGCAAAAAAGACAGAAAACTTGAAAAAAATGGGTATAATTATAAGAGATATATAAAATATAAATTAACAAGTATTTTGATACTGATTATATAAGATTATCAACATAGATATATTACTTATATTAATTTGATAATTGAATATTTTCAAAGTTTATACATGTACATAATTGCTTTTAGTGCTTTTTTTTAAATTTAAACTTCGGTCATCTTGAAATGCAGACTAGTTAATTTTAATAGCAGTACTTACGTAATAGGAAACAGCATTTCTTTAAATGAATGCGGATTACATGTGCAATATTACCCCAACATTACTTAAACTATCACCGGAAGAAATCTACAAACATTATTTCTTCCTCCCATTCTTGTATTCTCGGAAAAACAATATGTTTTCACAAATGATCATATTGCCTGCACCATTTGAGAGGAAAAACGACAAAAAATTAAAGAGTTTTACATGGCCCTCTATGATTTACATGTCAAAAATGATATCTCAACGGCAGATGCTAGGGAGTAATAAACCCTTGTTAGATTTTCCGAGAAAATTTTAGTTCCGTTTTAATGGTCATAAATACAAATTTCATATTTCTCTAACTGCCTGATAATTTTATGCTTTCGTAAAGAATATTCAGCAGTTTTATGATTGCTTTAGATTTTATTTTTGTTTTGCGAGAAATAAAAGAATTTGAATGAAATATTATTACAGATCTTATAATGAGCTTGTTAATGAGTACATGTTTAGTAATAGAAAGAGCACCGAAACACGAGGTTATCTGATTTGTACGAGGGGGCGTAGCCCCCCGAGTATTAATCAGATTACCGAGTGTTTTGGTGTTCTTTCTCTTTTGTATCATATTCAAACATAAAAAAACGTTCCCTGTTGTTACAATATGAAACCCCGGCAAAAATGAACCAATGAACGAGCATCTAAATATGACATTTCTGTCGATTTCACTTTCACTGCCGTCACAATATGTAAACCCCAGCAAAAATGAGCCAATCAATGGGCATGCTCTGGAGTGCGGGTAACTAATACCCGCACTCCAGTTAACGCACTGTGCATGTATATGTATACTGATTAACCCTGACACATTTTCAACAGAAAGGTCTCCAAACTATGATACAAAGAAAAGATAGAAAATCAAAGAGAAGTTATAGAGAAAGAAAAATCAATGAGAAGTAGAGGAGAAAAAAAACCAACATTGAGTATTTGCTCAATATTTTCTTTTAGGTTTAACACAAAAGTGAATTTCTAAAGCTATTCATAAAGTTCATTTCTACAATCCTTACCTATGCTCAATCTCAAATGCACTTGTCCGTCTTCCAATCTGGTCAAAATCATTAATCATAATTAGGTAACAATTCAAAATGATTGTACTTCCTGAAAAGTGAACAGTGCAGACCATAATCAGATAGCACTGATGTGCAGGTTGATTTTAGTCTGCAGTGGTCACATGGGCAGTAACAGTCAGTTGGCTAATGGTCAAAATAAGAAAAAATAAAGAAAATATAAAAGAATCTGGGGCAATTGGTTTCTTTCATTATGATTTAATAATTGTTAAACAGCTAATATTCTTATATTTTTCATTTAGGTTGATATCTTTATGCTAAAAAATTTAAATTAAATGATAAAACATTTAAATTTCAAACCCTCCAGCTTATCAGATGTAAGAAATGCATATTGATACATACAAGCACCTTGCAAACATTTAGATAGATAATTTTTTAAATATCAAACTTTAATGGCCAGTGAGTGGTAAATTGGTAGCATTCATAACCTTGTTGGAAATTCAAAGTAAAGTTACAAAGAATCAAGTTTTACTTATTGAACCTTTGAGGGTTTTTAAGGTATTATTATTTTTGTCATCAGTTTACATGAGAGATTTAATTATCTACAAGGTATGTATTTGGAATTTGATATCAAAATAAGGTAAAAGCATTTCTTAAGTTGAAACATTATGTTCTTCTTTGTCTTAATTTTGTATTGTGTCTTAATCCATATTAATTTATTTATAAAAAAAAAATGCCAACTATTTTAAACTATTTTAATATAAGAAAGTCAGGGGTATTCCAAATATGTTACAAAATATTCCAAATTTCTGAAAAATATTCTATTTAATTCAATACAATATTTCATTTCTTTAAAAAAGTTATTTCACAGCCTCCTTTTCCGATCCTGTTAATGTGATATAATTATTTTAATACTCTTATTTTTTTAAGATCTGCGTACCGGAAATGCAGCCTCTGATACTTGACTTTTTTAAAGCGAAGATTTTTGTCCATCATGACCTTGAAGCAAATTGTAGACTCTTTATCTTTTTATCATTATGATTTATTTTTGGTTCACTCTACTTTTCAGACCACTTGGATAATTGTATCCCAGGAATCCAACTTAAAAAAAATCACTTCTTTTTGACAGATTGGTTACTTAATAATGAAACAAAATTGGTAATAAACTCCGGAAGAATTCAATTTTCTACTTTTTCTCCCATATCATTTCCAAAGATTTTCTCTTTTTTTCTCTCTCCTTAAGGTTGGATTTACTTAAAACACTTGGAAGTACTTGTAAGTCAGTCTGTGAATCATTTTGTTTTTTTTACAAGCAGATAAAATGTATTCTATAAAATGACTTTAAATGTTTGGTATGTGACAAACTTTTACTTTAGTGACAAAGCTTTGGCTTGTTTTGATTTTAATTCAAAACTTTCCATTGGTAATGTGAAGAATTTTTTTTTTATCAAATTTATTTTGCAATCAAACTGATTGAATCTGGAGGTCGTTGCTTGACCTTGGACAAGAGTTGATAACCTCAAGACCAGTGGAACCTTTAATTGTAATTGCCTGGCGTTGACTTGATACTATTGGCATAAGGATTAGTCTGCCATTATATAATCCACTAGCATTCTAAACTGCTAAAACCATTTTATAACCTCATTGAAATCAGATCATATTGTTAGCTAGATTGAGAGATCAAGTATAGAAGGCTGCCTTTCATCACATAAAGAACTTTGCTGGAAGTACAATACAAGTACTTAGTAAATCACCATATATAAAAGGAAAACTTGAGCAATAAAACCAGCATGTTTAATTTGGCTGTTAAGAGCTTAGCCCAGTTTTTTTGTTCTTTTATTAGTTGCTGTATGTTGTTTTTTTTTTCAAGTAAATTTTCTGAGTATTAATCTTGTACACACACACATTGATGTTGTGATATAAAAGTAAAGACCTCAGACAACAAGGATATTTGTTGATGATCTTTGTGGAACAACATAGACAGTTTACAGAGGGCAATGTTAAGGTTTTGAAGTTCTAACTAACAGATAAGTTAATGTTATGTAGATATAATGTAACACTGTGAGCAAATCACCACATATAGACAACTATTAGCCTTTTATTATCATGTAGAGGATTTAAATATATCCCCATTGAAGGCAAGTTCAAAGGGAAATTTTGGAAATGTTTTCAGACATACCCATAAAATTTCTAAATGGTGTTGGAGGAACAAAGGCTGATTGTAGACTTAAAGAGCATACCAAATTTCAGACAAATTAATTTTTTATATTGCTAATCACTATATACAGTAAACAGGCTTTGATCTCAAAGCACAATGATGTATCAAATTTTGCTTTGTACTTAAAAAAAGTTATTGTTATCCCCATAAATAGCTTGGGATTTATCAGTTTGTTTATAGTTTAATAGATTGTATATTCTCAGTGGTAAAGTTTTATGTGGCTGGAAAATTTGACTAATTTTCTATTTTATTTAATGTTTGCTGCAGAGCAATACAGTACGTAAGCTATTTAATGACAGCGTGTCACAGAAGTATGATTGTGAAATGGAAGATTTAAGCTTATTATAATAGTTAATGTCAATAGGTTTAAATCATGAAACATGCATGATATATCAAATAAACTGTAAATAATGTTTGAGATTTAAGCCAAGTATGTAAATAATACAATCACCAATGTGGGTAAAACAACTTTTTTTCAAGAACTATTTAAGCAATATAGTCTGCTTTAAAGTTCTTGGATTTTTTTCCCCATTCAGATTTTAACTGCTGCTGTATCATAACAAAAGCATACAAAGTTGCTGTAATTTATGAAGATAGATGAGACATTTTTACCACTTTTCAGCGATTGAAATCATAGGTGCATCTGAGATACTTACACAAGATAAAGACAACATGAATGAATATATTCAGTTGTTAAGCCTTTCATCTTGTATTTTCAGACAAAAGATGAGCAATGTGCATCCCTCCAGATCAAACCAGAAACCTTCCATTATGCCATGCAGGATAGTCCAAACCAGGAGAAAACTACATCGTCACCTGACAAGAATACCCATGTGACCACATTGACCAATAGCCTGAATTCCCTGAACAATATGCAACTTCCTGTTTGTTTGACTGGTTCTAGTTCTACACATTCAGCAAGTCCTTCTGGCGGCATAGATAATGAGAATCAACCTGACATAACAGATTGCTGTTCAAATGCTGATCATACTTTGGTGAGTCATCAGACTACAAGTTTTGCGCAGTTGGAATCTGACTCATTGTTGGTGAGTCAACAAGAAGTAGGTCAACACAAAAGTAATGTCTTGGCAAACAAAACACAAGATGAATTCCTGCAAAAGCAGATTGAACTGTTCAATGAAAAGAAACGTCAACTTGCTAAGCTTCAGATGCAGATCCAAGAACAACTGTATAAAGCTTCTGATGTTGAACCAGTGTCCTCGCATCATGACGCGTTTAGTGTTGGACTTGTACAAAGTACGGCAGAGGAGCAATCTGCGAACAGAAATGAGAACAGACAAAAAGACTGTAATACTTTAACTGAGCAAGTTGATAATCAACATTTTAGCAGAAATTTAAATGTACTTAACCAGGATTTTACATATAAAAGCGATACTTTAACTCAGGGAATCAATGTTTCCAGGCAAGTGAATTTAGATTTGAATTCAAATGTTACTGTTTCAGATGACACTTTTGAAAATTTGCACAATGTAAATGTTAAAGAGAACCTGTCAGCCCCATCCTTGCACCCGCCAGATCATTTCTCAGGAACACAAAATGAAATAGAAGTTTTCTGCACGCCAACACAGCAGAGAGTTAGGTTAGAGGAAGAAGAAAACATTACACCATACATTCTTAAACCAAAATCTAATCTTAAAGAAGTAACAGAAACAGGTGAAGGCTGGAACCAACTGGATGTTGGGTCTCAACTTCTTAATTTATCTGATGAAAATGAGAAAATTGGTGTCCCATTATGGACACCACTTGCTATGAAAACTGTTGCTAAGCAACAAGCAGTTGGAGATAATTTTGACATTTTTAGTATTGAAAACACAAAAAGAGATATAAAGTCAGAGACTGATATTATTGCCAAAAGTGAAATTGACATAAGTGTAATAAACAGTGAACATAGTGGAGATAGAGTAAATGGGCTGGTCCCAAATACGTCTATTATTGAAAGCAGTACAAAGTCTGGAGTGTGTGGTGAACAATGTCCAAAAACCCCACCAAACAAGAGATCAGCATTTCGCAGCCTAAGTAGCTCAGGTTTAACTCCTGTTGTTGGCTCATTATCTCTAAGAGGTAATACTGATGTAAAGTTTGAGACGTGTAGAATGCATCAGTCGGATAGTCTACATAATTGTGTTCTACGGGCTGCAAATGAGCGTTATCTAGAAGCATTACTGGATGATGAGGTATCATTGTTTATGTGTCGGCTTTCTCCCGGCAATGGATTAAAGAAAGGAAGAGATTTTTGCCATGATCCTGTTGCTAGGATACTTCTTGGTGGGGATGATATGGTATGTTTTTTTCTTACCTTTTTTTCAAATACATTTTAAAGATGGTTAAATTTCCAGCTTGACAAGTAGAAGTTACTTTATGCATTATTTTCAGCACAAATATTTAGAATGGTCAATTTTTTAATGCTTGATAAATAGCTCCATTAATTAAAAAAAATTCACTAGCAGGATACAAATTCATCAGTTTTTCAGTTTAATACAAAATGTGGTAGATACAAATACAACAAAGTTTGAGGGTTTCTTAATTTGATGCCATCCACTACTTATGGTGGAATATGAATTTGCCTATGTCCATCAGCTGTTCTAAAGTAGACGAATATTGGGACATCCATTTATAATTTGTTTGAATTGGAAAGCAACACTCAATCATTCCATCAGCCAGTATTTTAATATTCGAGAGTCCAAGCAGGGTGCGGCCTTTACAAAGGAATTTAATATATCCTGAAGTCAAGTTATTGTTTATGCCCACACAATGTATAGTCTGATCAACCTCTACTGTCAACTGCAATAGCAAGGCAAATTTGTGTTAATTATAACATTAAGATATAAAAACCTTTTATGATTATTATTATTATTTCAGTTGTACAGCTTTGATGTAATAAACCAAAGCTTAATGAACATGTAAAACATATAGATTGTCATAACAAAAGAAACAGTTATATATTGATATTCCATTATGCAGCATCATGCCGCATGTCTCTTATGTTGTCCATACATAGATCAGTTATTATTGCACTTAACATCAAAAATAAAATTGCTATGTCATGGAACTTTCTTAGAATAATTGTCAGCTGTGAACTTACACACCTGGGTATTTCAATTCAAATTTATTGAAGATCAGCAAAGTTACACCCATTGATTAAGCAAGAAATAGCTTTTCAAGACTTGTGTTATGTGTAATACAACTGCTTCAGGCATTGAACTTCCTTAGAATATTGTCATCCTTTGATCTTATGCTCCTTGGTAATTTGTAACAAAGTCATTAGAGATATGGCCCCTGATTTATCAAAAATTAGCATATTTGGATGTGTTATTTGTATAATTCTTCTGTTTTTATAATTATATGCTGTTTTTATAATTATATCCTCTGGACACTTCTTGTTTTGTTCCATTTCTGTTTGATGCCTAACTGATTGCCTTTTACTGTGGTTCTATATGACTGAACGTGACTCCATTTATGTTGCTTTACTTCCTCAATATTTGTACATTTATTTCATATTTTACAGAGCTGTATTTTTATATGAATTAAATAATTTCATTTACTATTTTAGCATTTCATACCAATTGAAATGGATTCCAGTGATTTGAACAGTGTACATATTGACGGGTCAGCTTTCACCAAATTTGCTACAAGGGCAACATAGATGCCTGACATTGAGACTAGAAGCTGTATGTGACTATGTCATGCTACTTTAAGGTCAAGGGCAGCAAAAAGGTCAAGGACGTCAACCAAAGATCATATTTGCCAATCTGGAGGAGGGATATTTTAGTAGAGAATGATTTCTCTAAGGTTCATTATTTGTGTATGGTAGGAGAGAAATAGTTTTAGCCATATAAATAAATAACCATGTTCATCAAAGTCTTTAAAATATGATCATAAATGTTGATTCATAACTTATTCTTGTCTAAAAGATCTATAATTATATATATATACATAAAGTCATATCATTTATGTTAAAATATGTTTAAATTTATTCTCTGATTCCATTGTAGAGTGAAATACTTCTCTGTAAGTTGTAAGGAAAATTCAGTATTTGTTCTTAGTTTTTCACCAGAGTTTTTTTTTTTGTGTTAACTTTTTTGTGTCTTCTTTTCTATTATATGTGTATAAGTGCAGTTTTTGTCACCTTCTGTAATGTGCAAAGGATTAATATACCTGGAGCTGACTTGAGGTTTGAAGTTTGAAACCAAATTTTAGTTCAGTGACTTTCACATCTTCATTTTATATTAAGTAGTTTTATTGTATTTTATTAAAACCACCTTATGATTTGGTTGTATCAGTTCTATTTTGAGTTAAGTATTAGTTTATAACAATGATTATATTTATTGTTACTGTATATTTTGATGAAAATATACTGGAGAAATTACATCAAGTTTGAAGTAAATTTAATGTTTTTGATATTTTATGCCTCAAAGAGCATAAGTGCCATAACATCAGTTAATTTCTGCGATATATGTGTATGTCCATACTTTGGTATTTTAGAAAGCAAACAAATTATTTTGTCATAGTAAAAAAAAGTTGAACACAGTATATAAAAATATAGAGTGGTTATTTAAAATCTCATTTGTAAAAAATTAATCTGTAAACACAAACAGCAAAAAGGACTTTCTATTGTCATCAATATTTAGCCAAATCTTAACATTATGTTATTTTCCTAAAATATTGCGAGTTTTAAACTTGAGGCTAAGTAAATTAATGGGGGGGGGGGGGTAGTAGACGACAAATCATGTTTTTATGACAAAATTTTATACAACTGCTCAAAAAATAATCTGCTAAAATTAAAAATTAATCTCAGTTAAAATTTGAAAAATATCTTACAGTAAAATATTGTTCAGTCACCTCAAACGATTTTAGTATTTTAAAACATATTACAGTCAAGTATTGGCTTCTCACTTTTAATGATTTTAAAACATATTGCAGTATAATATTTGGTCAGTCACCTTTAATGATTTAAGTATTGATTTACTTACAAAATCTCTAAAATTAACAAAGGACATTACTGAGTTCATAGCCAAGCAAGTTCATTAATCAAACATGGGGGAAAAAGGTTTACATCCTGGGGGAAGGTTTTGTCTGTCTGATATTGCAGAAATTTGGTGGGATATTGTTTATAAATCTCATCTAGGTGCATTAAATATTAAAGTCGGTGTTAAATAGAATTTATTGCATGCTGCAATGTCATGTATTCTCAGATTTTCATTTCAATAATTTATCAAGGATAAAACTTCTTTAAAAAGTTTACATCAACAAATTTTAGCACTTCAAAATTTGGAGCATTTTTGTTTTGTTCTACAAGGCTATTAGATAAAAACATGATTTCTTTTTAGTCATTATTTAGAATAATTTTGAATTTAAAATGTTAAAAATCATTAAGTATTTTTTAAAATAAAAGTTTCTGACTCTTAATTAATATTGTGTTAACATATACGAGAAAATGAAACTTTTTTTATAAAGCTATAATGAAAAAAAATATTAAAACAGTATAAAATTATGTTATTTTCATAATCTTATGGTTGATTTGCGAAAAAGTTGAATTACATCTGTTAATTAACATACATGAATAATTGTATGTAAACAAAATATTATGCTTTTATTTTAAGTCTAATTTTAACTGTTTAGCAATGATAATGTGTATATTAAAGGAATTTTACAAGCATACTTATTAATTCATAAAGGTATTTTAGAAGTATTCTTTTTCAAAATTCAATTAATGATTACAGCAAATAAATAGCTTTATATTATGATAGTAATATATTCATTGAAAATTATGCATGTAGAGAAACATGATCATACCAAAAATATATTATTTTTTTTCTAAAAAAATACATTTTGAAATATTTGAAAATAAGTTTTGTTAATTTACTCTATAAATGATTGGTAACCATCACAAGCTGTACAGTTCTTCTGATTTAGATACAACCAAGAGGAAGCATTCTGTAAAGTTAAAAAAAAATCATAAAATATATTTAAAATATGAAAACTTTTAAAGTTAATTTATATATCAATTTTACAAGAAATTTAGTCACTGCAAAGTGTACAGTTGCAGACCAGATGAGAGAGAAATAAAAAGGCCATGTAAAAATCTTGATTACTGTCTTGACTTTGTGATAGATTTGTCTGACACACTTTGTCTGTAGTGTGCCGATAAACTGTTCAAACAAACAACAAACAATCACTGCAATACATTCATCAAAATTATCTTTTCACCATAAAATTGCTACCATATTGTACAGGAAAACTTTCATTTGTAACATAAACCTTGTGTTTATCATTGTCACAAACTTCTCTTGACATGCAATTTCCCTTGAAAGACAAGTCTACAATTTCAAAGGAAAATCTGTTAAAGACCCACCTTGACTTATTTCTCTCTTTGTGATGTTTGTAGCAAATATGAATAGATTTAATTGGAAATCAAAAGAATAAGCTAACTTTATATTAAAAAAGATCTTTATTGTATACATTTTTATTCCTAAAAAAATACAGAATTATCAAATATTTATTTGCACTGTTTTCAATGTGATTAAATTTGGTTGAAGATGTATGGAAAATTCTATTGAAAAGATTATATAACAATTATTAAGTGACTTGTAATCAGTTACTGTCCAGTTTGATTTAATATTTTCATAAGTACTGCATGAAATTATTATAAACATTTTTAGCTATGAACAATGGGCACTATGTATGCTTGATGTGTAATTTCATATTGTTAGAAATTTTATTTTTCCAAAAACAACAACAACATACAATTGCAATTTTCATGCAATAATGGCCAATATAAAAATTCATTCATGAATGGTAATTAAGTGTATATAAAAATTATGACTATATTTAGTAAGGTAGCTTTAATAAGTAATTAAGGCAAAGTAATTTGTTGGCAATTAAATGATCATTCTTTCAAATAAATGAACAAAGTTTTGGTGAACTGTCTACACACTTTGAAAACCTTCAGTCATGAAAAACCATATGTACACTGACATAAGTAATAAAAGTAATAAATAAAAAGAAAGTGACTGTACAGTTGAAACATATTTCATTGCTTTAATTAAATATTAAAAAAAAACTAATGTAAAAGAGTACAACTTAACAACAGAAGAACATGGTTTAGGCAACTAAGGATATGAATATTAGATTATTTGCCGTTCCTGATAAGCATACATTAATCAGACTTGTGTCTCTAGGCTGGTCTTTAACCAAATATAAAATAATGTTAACATTTTCATGCAGTCTGTGAATTAGGAAAAGGAATTTCAGACTAGAAAAATCTCTAGTTAGTAATTATTTTGGATTACCTAATGGCAGAAAAACAGCACATTAGCAGTAGGTTAATTGGAACATGGGCTTTGAAGAAGTAAAATCAATTGTTGGTATGGATTTTATCAGAGAGAGAGAAAAAAAAGATTTCCTCCGACTTTAAAATAGAATTAATTACAATGCAAATCTGTCCATTTATTTCTGAAAGGCCTGAATTATATGGAAATAATGCAACAAAGGAAATAAGCTATGTCATTAGGAATTTAGGTCTTAGTTTTATATCATTAAGATTGTCTTTATTCTTGTACATTACTTGTATTATCAAGGGACTTTTAATGCTGTTATCTACAGACAGGTGCTTTATATTAATCCTTTGAATACAAGTGGCATAGTCTGACCAGACTCTATACAGCTATCTAACAAGATAGTATATTGTAGTGTGACCAAAATCTATACAGTAGTCTGACCAGACTCTACAGCTGTCTCACAAGACCGTATATTGTAGTCTGACCAAAATCTATACAGTAGTCTGACCAAATCCTATACAGTAGTCTGCCCAGACTCTACTGTAGTCTGGCCAAAATCTATGTAGTATTCTGACCATACTCTATACTGTTGTTTCTGTAATTTAGCTTATTTATAAGGACACTCCTTCAAATAACAATCAGCTGTTTTAAATTTAAAGCTAGTCAAGTCCAACTGTCCATTATACAAATTATGAGTAAGAGAATTTTCTGAAATATTTATTTTAGATTATTGAATTAGTTAAATGAATAAAGCTTTTCTTAAATCATTCTTGTTGTTTTACAAATGTACAGTTACATCTGATAATGTAGTACATTTAACTCCACTTATAATGATAAACAACTTGCTGCGGTCCCCATTCTTGTTTTCAAATTGATTGAATCTCAGATATAATGATATTAGGATATAATTATATAAATTTTGGTGTCTCCTAAATACCGTTTCAAGCAAAGTTTGCAGTACAATGTATTTTGAAAATTACTTGTAATACATGTAATTTACAAAAGAAAAATTCTCAAAGAATTTCTTGATTAATAATTCCTATAATAAGAGTATGACAAAAATAGCTGAAGATAACTATACTGAATGAAGAATGACGCTAGATATAATAGTTATATTACACTAGTTTCTCAAGGGTGTCTTGCTTCTTTTTGTTGTTGTGTTATGTTGATATGAAGCTGCTATTTAGGTTGTTTTTTCTGGCTTATTTTTCATGTGAGTGTAAATTTGTCAATTTTAGTGTCAAAAACATGTATAAAAAATTCACTTTTTTTTGTTTGCTACATTTTGTTGGATTTTTTTTTCTTCAAAAGAAGTGTTAACTTGTTGATATTGAGATTGTTCTCTTGTACAAACTGTGTACATGTAGTTTATTATTTCTATGAAAAGTACCAATATGTTGAAATTATTTTGATGGAAGTTTTGACCAAAAGTTCAAAGGTTTCAAGTTCAAAACTGTAAATATTATATTATATAAAATGTAAGTTGATTGAATACATGTACTAGATTTTTATACAATTTGTAAAACTGCTGCAAAAGTTTGATGTCTTAACAGTAGAATACTGTCTTAAGATTTAAAGTGAAACTCACGAAAAAATGCAATTTTATAAACATATATTTTACATTAATACTGAAAAAAAATGTGTAAAAAGTTAAAAAGTTTGAAATGTTAAAAAAAATCACCAACAAGCATATTGTAAAAGTTAAATATTTTGCAGCATTACAGAATAAGATAATTATATAAAAACAAGAAAATATTTAAAGTTATTCTTATTGGGATGGTATTCTACTGAAGACGTCAGCATTCAGACAGTGTCTCTTTTTGCCAAAGAATGTCTGATGGATGAGAACTGTGATCATTTTCGACATGGGCCTTGTCACAGCAAAACCTTGCTTAAAGTAATGCTAATACTCCTTTTGTGTTTACAGAAATAGAATATGTTTTTCCCCAAAATTTAGCAGTTGCAGGCAGAGTAATTGAAAAAAAGATTATTTTTTGATTTTGGAATATTGGATTAATTTGATTCATTATCACAGGACGACTTTGTTTTAATAAATTTTATTATTTTAAAATTAAAATAATCATTATTAATTTCTTTGGTTGGGCCATGTTAAAGTCACATTAATGTTGTGCTTGTGATGATAGATCATAAGGGGTGAGCAGCTTTAATATGAGGGGAAAACCCTCAATTTATACAGCTGTAAAAAGCAGGATGTTGGGGGGGGGGGGGGGTGGGGGGAAAGAGGCATTAAGCATTGAGAAGTTTTTGTTGTGTCACAGCTCATATCTTCATTTACCTCATTTTTACCTCATAAATGTTGTTGTAAATGATGGGTATAGATATTGTAATATAGTGAGACAAACTGCTGTAACATGTTATACAGATATGTACTTTTTAGCTGTTGAATATGATGTGATATGTACTGGCTATAGCCTCGGTCAATATTATTTTTTCAGTACATATCACATCATATTCAACAGCTAAAAAGTACATATCTGTTTTATTACATAATTTATAAATAGCTTTTATATGGTTTATCAAATCTGCCATTTTTCATCTTGTCTACTTTTTCCATAGTTTGGCCCTTTCTTTTTTAAATAAGCGCATTGACACGCTTATTTGTATTGTTGTTGGTCACTAAAATAGACTTATTAGACTCTTATATACGAGTCACTAAATGTTTATTCTGTTATAACAACAAACTTAACATGACGTCACGTCATAGTCTCGCGTCTTAAGTGGGATTTCCAGAAAATCTATTTTTAGAAGAAAAAACGGTGAATATACTCTGAAAATCTAATTTTAGGAAAAAAACAGTGAATATACTCTGATATTGACCTGTTATTTTTTACAAAAAGTTGCTTGTCAGAAAATCTGGGAAAGGCATTTCACAGCTATTTATAGATTATATAATAAACATTTTTATTCCCCCCTTTTCTTGGTGTTGTGATCTTATTTTTCTAAATGCATGTTATAAATGTAAATATAGTTTGTTCATTGTTTTTTTTTCTATGTAGTTGAAAAAAATCTGACTGAAATAATTGATGATTTGTCATAATAATTTCTTTTTTTGGGGATTTAAATATTAACTGGCATCAAAATACTGTTAGTTTTTTTAGGGTTTTTTTTAATATTTTTTTTTATTTTTCAATGTAAGGATTGCTTATAATGTAGAATGATTTTAAAACTATAAAATGTAAGGACATAAAACTGGGAATACTTGTTTATCATGACAAGCACAGTTATAAGACAAGGGAAATTATCCTAAAAGGAATATTTTTAGGAGTTATTGCCCTTTTTAACTTAAATTGTTTATAAATATTACATTTGGTTATTGATAGGCAATGACCTTAACAGACAAGTATTAATTCTCACATTTATTAGGTATTTTAGAAAGGTATATAGTATATTTGACAGATATTATAAAAGCCTTCATAGATATTTTAATTCATGGACATGAAATATTCATCAAATTAATTATAAAAAGAAACGTTTTTGTGTGAAAGATA